GGGTTGGACCACACAAATCTTGTGAGCTTTGTCTCTCGATGACCTTCATAGCCCTCAGACATCATGACTCCGCATTTCTTTTTTTAAGAAAAAAAGCCACATGTGTTACTCCAGTGATGTGATGCTGAGTGCAGACTGGCAAGAGGCTCTCTAGAGCTGCCCTGTTTTTATGTGCAACAGAGTCTTAAGTGGGAAAGCCTGCGGCAGAGACTCTGGAGTACCTGGACCTCTTCCTCGTCCGTGTACTCGTGACACAGACCACTTGCTTGGACTCCTCACGCAGGTGCAAGTCCTTCCTTGCAGCCATAGATCCTGTAGACAGGCCTAACGGAGTCACACTGGTGCCCAAGACCAAGTGGGGAGAGCCGGAAGGGCCAGGAGTCTGAAAGTACCATTGTCCTGTATGCATTCCAGCCGGCAGCACAACGCAGGGCAGGAAGCTGTGCTGTGGACTCTCATAAAGCACAGAGGAGCCCTCGGTCCTCCATATCGTGGGTGGTGCTCTGACCTTTGAAAGGGACAGTGTGGTGGTGAGTCTCCACTCCGGAAGCCTCTCTCTTCCCTTTGCGACTCTGGAATAGCTCTCTGTAGGAGGGAGCAGTTTTCCTAACCCCAGTCCCTCTCATTCAGGGAGGTACAGTAATAGCCCTAGTTAAGGGGCAGCAGAAGCCTCTGTCATAGTCTTTTTAGTGCCTGGGCATCCTGGCTGCCACAGTTAGCCCTGTGGCAGGCACCACCATTGTGGTAGGAACAACTGAGCTGGGAAGGGAGCCAGCAGTCTGCGCAGGGAGGCCTTTGTAGGGAACTGGGGCGTACCCCTCAGGCTGCCGAGTTGGTCTTCGCAGAGCTCCTGGCCTCCCTAGTGCCCGGGTGTACCCCCAACTGGAAGGGCTTCTCTCTTTTTAAGCTTGTTTAGTCGTTACTTTATGTGCATTGGTGCTTTGATTGTGCATATGTCTGCAGGAGACTGTTGGATCCTCTGGAACAGACTGCTGGGGGCTGCCATGTGGGTGCTGGGAACTGAACCCAGGTCCTCTGGAAGAGCAGACAGTGCTCTTAACCGCTGAGACACCTCGCAGGCCTTGGAAGGGTTTCTACAGCAGCATTTTCTGGTCCGTCCTTTGCCTCATGCAAAGGCAATGTGTTACAGACACCTTCACAGGTAGTGGTGCCTTTTGCAAGGTCTCCTGTCCTCAGTGTAGATGTAGCACATTCTAGCATGGCATGGGGTCCTGCCTATAATGTCAGCAGAGAGGCTGAGGCCAGGGTAGATCACAGAGCAAGTTCTGGACCTGCCTGGGGTGCACACTCAGCAAGACCGTGCTAGCGAGAGTTAGGGAATAGGGGAAGGAAAGGGAGAGAAGGAAAACGAGAAAAGAACTCTCATCTTTGTCTTAAAGATGGTAGACTACAAGTGTGCACTGAGGGCCTTCGGGGTGAAAGGCAGCCCGTTAGGCCTTTGCCTCTGTTTACAGTGCTCATCTGAGCTGTGCCTTCAAATGTGCTGCTACCATATTAAAAGCTAGATGCCTTCCGTTGGGGTCCTCAGCACCACCAAAGGAATTCACACCCACCAACCAGCGTGGCGCACCATCACCTGTCTGTGCTCAGAGGGTTAGTTGGGTACACCCTCACCTGCTCTGCTCTGGTGGTTAGGTGGACTGGGCACATTCTGAGCAGACGTCCAGAGAGCCCCTTCCTCTGGCAGGTGGGTGCCTCAGAACAGTGTGCCCCAGTGTCCTCCAGGCCAGCGTGTCTGTACGCAGTGCCGCCCGCCTCGGGTTCCCGGGTGTCGGCACAGGGACGTCAGGCTGCAGTTTCTCCTGCGTCTAACACCTTGTAGCCAAACCAGAGTCTTGGTGCTGTCAGTAAAGCCAATACCAAACCAAGAGACCTACTTGAACAAATGTAGTTGGAGTCATTTCTGTTCGATTCATGGTTGGAGATAGTTTGGCTTTTTTCCCCCCACATTCTTGGAGGTCTAGTTAGGCGTGTTGAAGGGGCATTAGCTGCTGTTCAAACAGGGACCCACATTATCCTAACAGGACAAGCTTTGGGAGAGTAAAGTTTTTAAAGGTCTCATAAGAAAGGGCCTTCTCTTTTAGGGCTTTTGAAGGAATGTCAGCATACTGTTATTAACCCTAATAGCTTTCACATCACAGCCGGGATGCTTTGGGCCTTCTGACTCTCGAGTTACCTGGGTGAATACAGGACTCACTTTCCTGCTTGCCGCTTCGCCATTTGCTTAATCATGAGCAAATGTGCGGAGCCAGCAGCAGCCTGGAAGAAGTGCTCTGAACAGGATAAACATGCGCCCTTTTGTGGGTCTTCGTCTCCTGCCCGAGTAGGGCATCAGGTGAAGGGGAGGTTGTGGCCGGAGTCGGTAAACGAATATCTAAGAGGCACCTGCTTCGGTTGGTAGATCCGAGTTCCCGGGCCTCCCCCTGTGCATCTGCTCCCGACAAAGCTGCTTTTCTCCTCCTGTCAGTCAGAGGGAGAGCACAGGCCCAACGACGAGACACAACTGTCTGTGGCTTTATAATTACACCAAGTCTTCATTATCAGAAGGGCCCCAATTTAGAGATTTTCAGAGCCTAAATGGGGTTTTCAAAGTGAAATTGATTTTATAAAATTCTTTGCTGTTGTACAGCCAGCAATTGGATCTGAGAATCCCTGAAGTATGGGAACTGAGACATGAACCCTGAGCAGCACAACAAAGGCTGTGCTGTCAGACTGGCTCGAGAGAGCCCGTGTGAGCGAGTTCTGACTGCCCAGCGCAGCTTCTCTGCGGGGCTCGGCACTCACTGTGAGGTGTGCCTTACACACTGCCACTGGGAATGCTGTGCAGTTTCTCCTGTAGAGGCCTAAGGGGCTGGGGGTGTTCAGGTAAGTTGCTAGGCTGGGGTGGAAGGAAGAACTGCAACATAAAACAAGGAAATGTCCAGGAAATAGACTTCAGGCGAACACAAAGCCTCTGTTTTCAGATTGAGTTTCCATCTGAACAAAGGCAGTTCTTCGTGTGTGTGTGTCTGTGTGTGTGTGTGTGTGTGTGTGTGTGTGTGTGTGTGTGTGTCTGTGTGTCTGTGTGACTGATGAACAAAGGCCATTCTTCCAGTGTGTGTGTGTGTGTGTCTGTGTGTGTGTCTGTGTGTCTGTGTCTGTGTGACTGATGAACAAAAGCCATTCTTCCAGTGTATGTGTGTGTCTGTATGTGTGACTGATGAACACCTATGATGTGGAATTGACATAGTAGCAACTCTAGAAAGACGTTTTATCCCAGCTATTTAAGTTAATTAAAGTGAAATAAAATTTAAAATGTAGTTCCTTAGTCACCTTCCATAGCCACTGTGTTAGCCAGCACACAGACCGAACATGTCTTGTCATGGGACAAGACATTAGTCTGAACTTGAAATATCTTGGCTGCTGGCTGCTTTAGGAATCCTTGAACTATCTGGTCCAGTCTTGATGGAAGAAGAAAAAGGAGTATCTGAATGTTTAGAACAGCTCCTAGTCATGCCACCTAGACTGTGTCCTCCAATCTTTTTGGTTGGTTGGTTGGTTGGTTGGTTGGTTGGTTGGTTGGTTGGTTGGTTGGTTGGTTTTTGGAGACAGGGTTTCTCTATGTAAGTCTGGCCCGGAACTCACGCTGTAGATCAGGCTGTTCATGAATTCAGAGTCCTCCTGCCTCTGTCTCCTCAGTGCTGGGATTAAAGGCGTGTGCACCCAGCTCCTTTTTTTTTTTTAAATTTGACTTCAAGAATTTCCCCATTATCCTCACAAAAGGAAGGAAAAAAATACTGAATTATGCTAGTAAGGAAGGGATTTGGTTTTAGGAATTCCTAGTTTCTGTTGGTGGTGATGCTTGGTTGGTTTTGGTTTTGGGATTTTTGAGACAGGGCTTCTCTGTGTAGCCTTGGCTGTCGTGGACTCACTTTGAAGACTGGGCTGGCCTTGAACTCACAGCGATCCACCTCCCTCTGCCTCCCGGAGTGCTGGGATTTGTTGTTTTGAGACAGGCTCACTGTGCATTCCTGGCTGTCCTGAAACTCACAGAGATCACTTGTCTCTGCCTCCCTAGGCTGAGATTCATGGCATGGCCACCATAGCCAATACAAATGAATGTCTATTTTCAGTTCATCCTCTCCCTAGCCTTCTCTTCCCTAAACTTTTATGGCCCAGCTATGAGAACTAAAAACTTTTTTTTTCAATAAACAGTCTCTAACAAGAGGCCACATGAAACTCGGGCCAGATATGTATGTGAATTGTTCACGGTATAGATAGCATGAGGTGCGGACAGTGGTCCTGGGAGGCAGAAAGTAGGTTGTTGGCCCCTTCCCTCCCCAGGAGGACCAAGCCATAAATGGCTTTTATTCTTGCTTCCTCCTCTTCTCTGTTGCTCGTAGCCACTGATGGTTGCCTTGACTCTTGGGAGAAAGCTCATATGAAATGAACACTATTACTTCAAATTTAGCCAGTATCTTTTTTTTTCTAACTTACCTTTAATAAATGTACTGTTATTTAAGCAGCAATTGGCCCTGATAGTCAGAAGTGGCCTGTGGGTTTTATAAATGCCATCAACTCTTAGTTGTCACATCCAGATTATCTCTCGTGTAGATTGCTTGTGACACACTTTAAATCCTTGAGCAGTCTCTAAGCAGGCCTGTGTAAGCCTAGACTGTCCCCCCCTCTCCCCACCCAGCTGCTAGGTGCTCAGGACATACAAATTAGTCTTCATATTAGCTTAAGGAAGACATAATTAGGAAGGTAGAAACCACATCATAACTGCTCCTTCAGGTCAGAGGTGAGCGGATTCTGCCCTTCCTGTGACTAAGACCTGGCTGTAGCTACGCTTTTGTGAACAGGCACTGTTGCTAGTGAGCTGGTGTGTTGAACTGAGCTGAGTTGGTTGTGTGTCTCCCAGGCCACAGGAGCGAGCGGGAAGTGGGCAGCTGCTGCTGTGGCAGGGTCTGTGTCTTTTAACAGTTGTGTGTTCTCATCAGGCCTCTTTATGGCAGAGTCTGGAGGTTGCAAGTGGATCCTGGCGAGAAGGCTGCAGGTGGGTTCGTCTTTGGGGCGAGAAGGAAGCAGCTGAGGTGCAGCAGCTGCAGCGCTGCCGTCCTGGCTCTGCCTCCCAGAGGATGGCCTCGCTCCACTGCAGCACACCCGGCCCCGTCGCGGGGCTCTAGTCACTGTTGGGGTGTGCTGTCTCTGGTGGTGGTGGTCTTTTCTGTTGATTGGCTGGAGTTCTTTTTATGAAGAACTTGTCCCGGTGACAAGTTGGCTGTGCGAGTACAGTTCAGATGAGAGAGCATGGCTGGTCAAGATGAACTTCACTAGTCTTGGCGAATACACGGACTCCAAGATGGCGTCAGGCCTACCAGTGAAGAAGAAACCTTTAGATGTCAAATGGGGGGCCGCTGTGCTAGACATTGTGTGGGACTCCCCTAAAGGCATCGCTGGAGCATTTCAGAGACGTCACTGCGACAAGAACATCAGTGAGAAGAAAGGAAGCATCGCTGGCGGCTTACGTGCTTTTCACTCCTGCCATTCTTCCAGAGAACTCAGACCTGAACGGCAGCCCTTACAGCCCCTGAAGAGCGACGGTGTCCAGTGTACCATGCTCACCTTTCCTGACTCCTGTGTGGGGCATTTGGCTCCTGAGAATTAACACCCAATAAAAAGTGACTGGTTTTCAAAAAAAAAAAAGATGAGGCTTTACTGCAGTAGATGTTTTTCTGTGTGACTGTCAGGCCCTGGGACGGCCCCGCTACACACCATGCTTCACTCTGGGTGAGCCTGCCACCCCTCATGTCCGCATTAAAGCTTGGCTGGGGAGCGGCACCCGTGCCGCCGGCCTGTGGGTTTGTGGCCCACAGGTCGAGTCTCTGTGAGTTGGAGCACACCTCCTAAGCGGAGAGTGTGTGTACTCAAAGGCCTGTTCCTAATTCCATTTCAGACAAGCCTTTCTGGTCAGATCAGCAAGGAGTTTAGTTGAGCCCACATTGGGGGTTCAGTCTCCAGGATGGTGAACGGCGGGGTCTCCGGTACCAAAGCATTTGGTGTCTCATTTCATAGTGTTCGGAGCATCTCCAGGCTGTTCAGGAGAAAGTCATGATTTTATATTTCCAAGATACCTTTGAGATACATTTACTAAGACGTAAAAATAGAATAACATTTGATTTGTGGGAAAGGGGTAAGAGGAGTTTCTCGGTAGTCTTCAAAAGGCTAAGGACAGAGTGACATTTTCCCAGCTGGTCAGCACTGCTGGGAGCATCACTGCCAGGAGCATTTTTGCCAGGGTCTCTGGGGGCACTGAGAGGGCCTCAGAGTGTTTGTGCTCCTTAAATCCCCCAGGTGCCTCAGGCTTGGCACACAAAGGGAAGGCTGACTGCCCATGCTCCCTGGCTGTGGCGGGGCTGCCTGGCCTCCTCTTTGGTTTGAGGTTGGTGTCTTTTCATGGCCTTCCTTTCTCACCTCTGTCCATCTTCTCATTTGCTCCTTTTTTGGACCTCAGCCTCTGCCTCCTGTCTACCTGCTGGGCTGTCTTCCATACCTGACTCTGCTCCCAGGTAAACAGGCCTGTGATTCCAGTGCTGGCCCCTTTCTGTAGACATCAGCCACTGGTGTGTTTTTCCAAGAGTTCCCTCTCCCTAAATGTTGCTGGCCCTTAAGGACTTGGCACTTTGTCCAAACCTAGGTTCTCTGCAAGAACAATTGCTATTATGTGTGAGACCTCTCTAGCACTTTCTCATTTTCCTTCTCCTCTCTGGCCGTGGAGTTAATTCGCCACTTAGTCAGTGTTCTTCCCCCACCTGTGTTCACGTTCATGTTAATGAATCTCAGAAGACATCATACCCTCACACCTCAGTCAGCTGTGGTGCCTCATGCCTCCAGCTGCAGCACCGCCCAGGAGGCTGAGGCGGGAGGTCAGCCTGTGCCAGGTAGGGAATTCCAGCCAAGGCTACCATCAGCCAAGGCTACCATGTGAAACTTCTTTAAAAAAGTAAGAGAAAAAACCTCACAGCAACTGTTGTCTTTATTTTGTTTACCTATTTTTTTCCTCTCATGACAGTCAGTATTCTCCCAGCTAGAGAGACATGCACAGCCAACTCACAAGGCCTTTGCACTGAGTGGTTAAGTTACAGCAAACAACAATTCCCAAAGGTTCCCCAGCTTGGAAGGCAAATGAAAGGTCCATTCTTCCAAAAGCTGTCTGTCCTGCCCTGTCTTGTCGTGGGGTGGGGGAGGGCGAGCTGAAGCACCGGGCGGCCAGGCATCCTGAGGCCTCTGCTCGCTTCCTGCCGGCCTGCTCACTTCTGAGGTGTAGAGGTTGCTGTCACACACCTGTCACCCAGATGTGACACATTTATTTCAGTGCTAGGGACTGAATCCATGGCTTCTGTGTGTCGGCTGGCGTCTACCGCCCGGCCCCAGCCCTGGTCCTGTAGGTAGCCTCCATAACCCGAGTTAGCGGTTTCCCGGGTTGGTGTGCTCTCTGGGGTACGGAGTCAGTGCTGCCTCAGCTGCCTCCGAGGACTGCCGAGCATGACTGTGGGGTGCATGGGAGGCTGCCGAGCATGCATGATGCTGTGCTTTTGCAAACCTGTCTTCCAGGCCCCCGCAGATGCTGTACCCTTGCCGCTTGCCTGCTGTTTGCTGGGAGCAGTGACCTGCCCCGCAGCCCAAGCTAGACTCCTCATTCAGGGCCACTTAAAATGCAGCTGCCCGCTGCTGGAGACCTACTGTGTGCCAAGGGTTTCCTTTGTCAGCATTTCTGGTTTAGTTTTCTCCTGTAATCAGTAATCATTTTACATGTGAGGAAGCTAATGCCCACAGGTGCTCAGTGACAGAATTCACACGCGCCTTTGTGACCAAGAACACTTTAATGGGAGTAAGCCAGCCTGCCGAGTAAAATCGTGCTCCTGTGACCAGCCCCAGATCCCCATAGAGCATCCCCACCCTCGGTGCTGTGATGAAGAGCAAAGGGAAGGGCTCCTGAGGGCAGGGCCGGACGAGCCTGCCTGTCTTCACCACCACCACCACGGAGAACGTCAGGTGTGGTAGTGTGTCCAGTGACAACGCCTGCCATGCCCAGTCTGGCGGCAGGCCTGTCACCAACTGACCAAGCATACTTCTGCACACAGACACGGGCACGATGGGCAGGGCGGGTCCACGAGCACCTGGTGTTGCCTGAGTGCTGGAGTCTGTGATGTCAGAGGAGGCAGCATAGGAGCTGTGTCCTCCATCACCCAGGAAAGATGCGGGGGCTGTTGGGAGAGTCCGGCGTGACCTGTGGGACTAGAAAGGAGATAGCTTGAGCAAGTGCATGTGGTACCCAGGGCATGTCGAGAACAAACGTGGTTGTGATGGAAGGACCGTGTAGGGAGCTTGTGCAAAAGTTTATGCTCGCTCAAGATTCAGCCAACCTAGGCAGAGTGGTTACGAAACCTCAGCACTCGGGAAGCCATGGCAGCAGGATCGAGAGTTGGAGACCAGCCTGGGCTGAAGTGCTGAGGTGACACGGAAGTATCTGGAAGTGAGCATCACAGTGCTTGACCTGAGGTCCTTAGGCTGGGTTGTCAGCACTCCAACTAGAGTACTTTTTCACCGCAGTCCCAGAGGACCTTCACGCCTGGACCATCAGAAAAGCCGGGACAGCTCCTTGGGCAGCAGGAAAGAGTCAGACAGATTTTGGAAAGGGATTCATTATGGCGGAAGTGATGAAAGACGAAGATCTTAAAGAGGACATTTCTGAACGTGCAGCAGAGGCTGCTGGGAAACACAGCAAGGCAGAGCTTACGTTGTTGAAGATGGAGATATCTTGAAGTTTAATTCACCTCAGCAACTGAAGAAGAAAGCTTAGCTTTTAACTTTAGTGGATGTAAGGTTTGGGTTTTGATTGGGCGGGTAGTTGCTTGTTTTGTTTCATTTTTCTTTTAAGTTTCTGAAAACTGGAGATTCAGAGTTGGAATGGGACAAATTATTGCTGACAGTGAAATGGTAGGGGCTGAGTTCCGGTTTGCTTTTGAAAGGAGAGTTTGGGGCTGGAGACCCGACTGAACATTTAGGGGTGCTCTCTGTCCTTCCGAAAATTCCACAGGCATCAGCTCCCAGCTGCCTGCATGGAAGGCCAGCTCCTAGGGACCCGATGCCCTCTTCCGGCTTCCAAGCATGCCTGCTCTCATGTCACCCACCCACACGGGCGTGCACACGTGCATGAATAAAATTAATAAATATACACGTATTTACTCAAGGAAGTGTGTTGACAGGGCTAGGAGATTGGCTGTGACGTGAGCGTGGTGAGGCCACGAGAGGCCTGGCCCACGCAGGACGAGCTTGCTGGATGCTGGTGAGGAGGGCGGGGAAGACCTACGCTCTGCCGCCTGCTCAACAGTGGCACCCGGCAGATTTTAACTAAGACAGCGGGGTCAGGCTTCACCTGACAGAAAATGTGCCCCTGGGGCTAGCACATTCCCTAGGGAGTTTGCACATCCTGGCAATTGACCTTTCTGAGTTCCCTTGCCCCTCTGTTCTCCTTTCCAGTAGGCGGAGCTGCCGTGATGTGCCATGAAGCCTGGAGAGGCAGCAGTGACCTCTAAGGACACCGGCCTCACCAGGGTGCTAGGTGTCAAGGGGATTGTGGTGTATGGAAGGTCTTCCAGATCCAAACCCAAGCCCGGATATGTAGCTTCATAAACCGTGTGTGTGAGCATGCGTGGGGGGCGGGGGCAGGCGGGCTGCAGCAGACTTGAGCCAGTATGTTTACCTGTTTGGTTGGTTGATTTGGAGACCAGGTCTTACTGTGTTGACAGGGCTAGCTTCAGGGAGGCCGCGTGCCAGAGAGTCACACACTGCCTGACCTGGCTCTGCGGTAGTTGATTTTGACATTGAGACAGGGTCTCACCATGTAGCCCAGGCTGGCCTCAAAGGTCCTCCTGCCACCACACCCAGTAGCAGTGGGTCCAAGAGCTGCTTGTTGGAGTCAGTTCTCTCCTTGCAACGTGTGGGTCCTGAAGATTGAACTCAGGTTGTTAGGTTTGGTGGTGAGGACCTTTATCTA